GTTGTCAGGACTGTCAGGGTTGTCAGTGATGTCAGTGATGTCAGGAGTGTCAGGGATGTCAGGGTTGTCAGGGATGTCAGGACTGTCAGGGTTGTCAGGACTGTCAGGGTTGTCAGTGATGTCAGTGATGTCAGGAGTGTCAGGGATGTCAGGAGTGTCAGGGTTGTCAGGGATGTCAGTGATGTCAGGAGTGTCAGGGATGTCAGGGTTGTCAGGGTTGTCAGGAGTGTCAGGCGTGTCAGGACTGTCAGGGTTGTCAGGACTGTCAGGGTTGTCAGTGATGTCAGTGATGTCAGGAGTGTCAGGGATGTCAGGGTTGTCAGGGCTGTCAGGGTTGTCAGGGATGTCAGGAGTGTCAGGGATGTCAGGAGTGTCAGGGATGTCAGGAGTGTCAGGGTTGTCAGGGTTGTCAGGGATGTCAGGAGTGTCAGGGATGTCAGGAGTGTCAGGGTTGTCAGGCGTGTCAGGGATGTCAGGACTGTCAGGGTTGTCAGGACTGTCAGGGTTGTCAGGACTGTCAGGGTTGTCAGTGATGTCAGTGATGTCAGGAGTGTCAGGGATGTCAGGGTTGTCAGGGATGTCAGGGTTGTCAGGGATGTCAGGGTTGTCAGGAGTGTCAGGGTTGTCAGGAGTGTCAGGACTGTCAGGACTGTCAGGGTTGTCAGTGATGTCAGGAGTGTCAGGGATGTCAGGGTTGTCAGGACTGTCAGGGTTGTCAGGAGTGTCAGGGATGTCAGGAGTGTCAGGGTTGTCAGGAGTGTCAGGCGTGTCAGGGTTGTCAGGACTGTCAGGGTTGTCAGGGTTGTCAGTGATGTCAGTGATGTCAGTGATGTCAGGAGTGTCAGGGATGTCAGGGTTGTCAGGGATGTCAGGAGTGTCAGGGATGTCAGGAGTGTCAGGGTTGTCAGGCGTGTCAGGGATGTCAGGACTGTCAGGGTTGTCAGGACTGTCAGGGTTGTCAGGACTGTCAGGGTTGTCAGTGATGTCAGTGATGTCAGGAGTGTCAGGGATGTCAGGGATGTCAGGGATGTCAGGGTTGTCAGGACTGTCAGGGTTGTCAGGGATGTCAGGAGTGTCAGGGATGTCAGGAGTGTCAGGGATGTCAGGAGTGTCAGTGATGTCAGTGATGTCAGGAGTGTCAGGAGTGTCAGCATTGTCAGGGATGTCAGGTGATCACTAATTGCCAGGGTTGTTAGGACTTGTCGGGAAAAAGAATAAATAAAATAAAAGTATGATGACAAGTGTGATGAAGACATGTTCAGGCTTGCCTAAGTTGCAGCACAAACCAATTTGATTTTGTCAGGGTGTCAGTACCTGACAAATACGATTAGCAATTGATATGAATACCAAATCTTGCATGGTATCCGCTGGAACACACTTGAATTTTGCGATTGTCCAAAACATGTAAAATTGCTCGTACTTCATGTAATCATAGTTATATGAAAGTTGTGCCAACGACTGGAGCTACAATCTTGGACATAACTGGTTGAGACTATTTTCCCCCCATAGAAAATTCGCGTATTTTTATGATAAACTCCATGTTGAATCATGTTGCCATTCTTAAACCCCCGCTCCCCCAACTCAATGTTGAGCTTGTATCATGGTATATTACCAAAAGTTGTTTCGGCGTTGTTCACAACATTGGACTGGGGGGAGGGGGGGGGGGACAAAGTTTGTTTTGTCAATGTTCAATAACTTTGTAATATTAGCTGAAATGGTCTCAAGGGTTTTGTCCAAGATTGTAGGTGAGCAAATCCGATCCGATTCGTTCGGATTTCAGAACAAAAATATACATTTCGGATCGGATTGATAAAGTTGTTTCGTAGTCGGATCGGATCGGACTTCGATATCCGAAATAAAATGAATTAATTATCTAGGCATTATTGCAAGAATTAATTATCCATGCATTTATCAAAGCATTATCGCGGTTGTCGCCGCATTTTTCGTTTGATACTTCAATTGGACGTCACTTTGTCAGCTTCTTGACATGTATTTCTTGTTTTTATATTTATTTGGTTAAACATTTCAACTTGAATGAGAAATTTATTCTGGATTATTCGGATCGGATTGGAATTCTTTAATCTTTATCACAAGTTCACAACTCGGATCGAATCAGATTCGGATTAGACAATTTCGGATCGGATTTTAAACAGCCAATTGTCGGATTATAAACGTCCTAGATATCTATTATTTCTATGAAGATGGTACTTCAGATAAGATTTTGTATATGTTATTTAAAAATAACCAACATGAGCTCCACTGGAGCTCCACCTCAATCTCGAAACCAGAGCCTGCAATCCTCTGTGGAGGCTTGCTGAGGCTCTGGGAACACCAGCGAAAGTCGGACTCTGATTGGTTGTTTTCAAGTGCTAATTATTATTCAAACTGTGGGTCTATTTTAGTGATTCAAACATCGTTTAATTAATATAAAGTTTATTTCTCTTTGTGTATTATGTTTAAACATATCAATGAAACACACAGCATAACTTTAATAAACTTATTAAACTTTCTTGGCTTCTCATATGAAATCTGTTAGTGAATAAACATTCATCCAGACAAACTTATATAGAGAGATCAGTGATAAACAGGTCATATGTGACCCCCAACCACGTTGCTGTATTCTACTTCTGTGAAGCAAAGTATTACGGTGAAAATCAGGGCGAAGGGAGAGAGGGCGTAGAAACGGAGCGGACCCATCCGTGATGCGGGCTTCGCGGGGGGTAAGACGTTCTAATTGTAAACAAATATGGCTACGCGTATATGACCCATCAGAAGGTATGCTGAAACTATTGCTTTATAAAATATTACTTCTGTAAAATTTATATGTTTTTGTTACTTTCAGCTATTATAAGAAACTTAAAGATAAGATTTAAGTAACAAAAAACTTTATTTCGGGTGTTATTTTATTTATATACTCTGTTTAATTTGGTGGTTAAAAATGGCCGTCGAAATGTTGTCCGAGAGTGTTAGCGCGCACTACTTCCTGATAAAAACCCAATGATTTCCAAAACCTAAATTATAATTTGTTATTAAGTTCTGATGAAAACCTTTGCGCAGACAAAATTATAGAGTGAGCAAACATGAGACAGATAGGTTTTGAACCTTTCAAAGTTCGAGGTCGAATTGACAGTTGAAATATTACCAAACTCCAAGCTGAAATGTGCAACTAAATCGTGTATATTTTTGTCAATCTTGTTCGCTGGCTTCGTTAAAGTCACTTGCAATGGCTCGACATAAGTTACAACATACAAACTGAGCAGAGCCCATGAAAGAGCTATCCATAGTCCATACCCATACAGTCATTCAGCTTCCTTGCTATTTAGAAATTGTTGCCCATTAGTTGAAGAAGAATTGCTATTGTATGCGGTTGTTTGCACTTCCTTTTCTGAAAAAAGTCGACAATATTAGGGCTAAATAGCAGAACAATATGACCCAATAATCCATGCAATTAAAAATATCTATCAAATTAACTTCAAAAATCATGATTTGGGAATTATATCTATTCAGGCAATCAACCCATAATTTAGTAACAGATCTTGGGATTGGTGTACTACAAAACTATATTGACTAAAGTTTTGGAAAAATTTTGCCAACTTTTGAAGGATTTTATTAGGTCCAGTTCACATGAGACTGGAACGAAGTCAATTAACTGGGACCATTTCGTTTTGGTCATTAGATTATATATAATAGATGTTTACATGAGGTCTCAAGTCATTCCGCCTGCTGGACCAAGCCGACTGACTCAGACCAGTATGAATTCAGACTGGAATGAATGTTGACATTGGAACAAGTGAACAACACATTTAAAAAAGAAAATTGCCTGGCAAGGGGAATAAATTGAAAATTTTGTGATTTTCATACTGGTCTCATATAAACATGTTGACATACAATTTCAATTTTCCAGGTTGGTTTCATCCTGGTCTCATGTAAAAGGGGCCTTACAAACTGTGATTCAGTATCATGGGATGAGATTAGGGGCCTGTTTATATGATCCCGGCCAGGCGGGACGCTTACCGAGATCCCGCTTGTAATACAAATGCTAAAGAGTGTTTATATGATCCCGCCACTTATCCCGCCTAGACTGGATTTCGGCAACAGATGCTGGGATCCTGCCTAAGCGAGATGAAAAATTCCCATATAAAAACACTTTATCCTGCCTAGCCGGAATGAAAAATTCCCATATAAACACTTCATCCCGGTTAGGCGGAATGAATTTTTCCCTTTTGGGCATGCGTAAATGCCTTTATTGCAACAAAAATTTAATATGACGTCAAGCACCAAATGGTTTCATCCCGGCAATGTATTTTGTCCATATAAACACTAGGCGAGTATCCTGTCTTGGCGGGATGAAAACGTCCCGTCCCATCTAGGCGGGGTCATATAAACGGGCCCTAAGGAATTGAAAGATTTTATAGCGAGCAATGCTTAAAAGCAAGATATATAAACAATGAAAGAAATGGCACTAACAGAGCCACAACTTCTCCAGAAGTGTAAAATTCCATGATACTGAATCACAGTTTGCAAGTCAATCCTTCAAAATTTAGTTAAATGTTTCCAAAACTTCAGTCAATATAGTTTTGTAGTACACCCATCTTAATTAAGGGTTCCTTTCAGCTTTCACCTTGGCCTTGCCAAGACCTGTCACTAAATTATGGGTTGCCTGAATAGATATAATTCCTCAAATCATGATTTTTAAAGTTAATTTGATAGATATTTTTAACTGCATGGATTATTGGGTCATATTTTTCTGCTATTTAGCCTTAATATTGTAGACTTTTTTCTTCGACTAATGGGCAACCATGCACTTCTAAATAGCAAGGAAGCTCAATGACTGTAGGGGTATGGATAGCTTTTTCATGGGCTCTGCTCAGTTTGTATGTTGTAACTTATATCGAGCCATTGCAAGTGAATTTAACAAAGGCCAGTAAACAAAATTGACAAAAATATACACGATAAAGTTGCACATTTCAGCTTGGAGTTTGGTACTATTTCAACTGTCAATTCGACATCGAACTTTGAAAGGTTCAAAACCTATCTGTCTCATATTTGATCCCTCTATAATTTTGTCTACGCAAAGGTTTTCATCATAACTTAATAACAAATTATAATTTAGGTTTTGGAAATCATTGGGTTTTTATCAGGAAGCAGTGCGCGCTAACACTCTCGGACAACATTTCGACGGCCATTTTTAACCACCAAATTAAACAGAGTATAGAAATAAAATAACACTCGAAATAAAGTTTTTGGTTACTTAAATCTTATCTTTAAGTTTCTTATAATAGCTAAAAGTAACAAAAACATATAAATTTTACACAAGTAATATTTTATAAAGCAATAGTTTCAGCTCGTGTGTGTGGTGATACAGCTCGTGTGTTTTTGAGCTCCTCTCAATTATGTGTTCTACAACAGTTAGCAACGTATTGTACGGCTATTTTGGCCTTAATAAAAGTAAATTGAAATGGTCAGGAACTTTGGAAGACCTTAAAGCATTTGTCCTCACGGAAATTAGTGAAGAAATAGCCGAAAATACATCATGGCGTTCACCGAGCGGCGGGACATGGCAGTTTGATTCTAAGATGCTATCAGTTACATGGCATAGTAAAAGTGAAAATATTTACTTCAAAGGTGAAAAAGGCGGCGATCTCACCACACGAGTATATTCCTACGTAAATCTGGGGCTCGGGGAGAGTGATCAAACGGTGGTGAGTGGAAGTCCTACAGAAACCGAGCTAGCAAAGTCTATCGGAAGTCTGTTAGCTAGCAAGAATGAACATATGAATGATATTAATAAAACTAAAGATATGCCAACTAACGAGGGAGCTAGCGAGGATGAGAATACGAGTGATATTGAAAAAACCGAGGATACATCAACTAAAGAGGGTAATCCTGTGAAGGCTTCAAATCGACATCTTGATTTCAGTAACAGTATTATTTATGAAGCCCAAAGTTCAAAGGAAGAAACGAACACAAACTTGTCAACAAGTGTAAATTTGCATAAAGAACCAATGAATTTGCATAGAGTGCCTCATTCCTATATTCCTTTGGGAGACCCGAACAAAAACTATAATCCGGAG